GCGGGGCCCGAACCCACGAACCGCGAGATCATGACCTAAGCGAAAGTCGGACGCTTAACCGACTAAGCCACCCAGGCGCCCCTTTTTTTTTTTTTTTTATTGTTAACTGTATATAAGTGCCAGTGAAGTTTTGTACTCTCAAAGATCAGTGTTCAGGTCACTACTTTATACACCTGTTAACCACCTGAAGGCTTGTAGCCCTCAAGCTATCAGGTACTGTGGTATTCAAGTTGGTGCTCACTAAACATTTCTCTCTTTTAAGATTTTATTTTTAAGTTAGCTGTACATCCAACGTGGGGCTCAAATTACAACATTGAGATCAAGAGTTACATGCTGTATTGACTGAGCCAACAAGGCACCTCCTCCTTAAGTGTTTCTTTCTTTTTTCTAATGTTTATTTATTTTTGAGAGAGAGAGAGAGAGAGAGAGAATGAATCCAAAGCAGGCTCCAGGCTCCGAGCTGTCAGCACAGAGCCCGATGTTGGGTTCAAACCCACAAACTGTGAGATCATGACTTGAGCTGAAGTCAGATGCTTAATGGACTGAGCCACCCAGGCACCCTGTTATTAAACATTTCTTAAATGAACATCTGACAGAACCATGAAATCAAAGTGCAGATAAGTAAGCCTGAAATTTGGGTGTGTCATTTTTCTCAGAGAGAGAACTTTTAGTCCTCTGTAATGGCTTTGTCAGAATGGACAAATAATGAAAACTGGGTAGTTTGCAAATAAACTGCCAGTGGTAATAATTCTATGGCAACACATTTCGTATAAAACTAAAAGTCAAAGGTAAAAAAACAAAATGAAACATTTTAAAATTGGTAACAGTAAATCTTTGATCTCAAGGATTCCTTATCCCCTGCAAGGATGTGAGCTAGTCCATATCACAATACCTACTTAATAGAATTCTGTATTTGTACAACATGCAATAAAAAAGATGAGAGTAACTCACTTTCCATGATATTCAGAAATACTGACCAGTCACTTCAGATATAGTTTGGATAATAGATTTATGCATGATTCTAAATGCTAAGTGAAAATAAAATCAAAAGCTGTTTCTTCACCTACTCCCACCTATGGAGTCGCATCTGCTATCAGGTGATTTCAAGGATGATTTAGGAGTAGAAACTTGGGTCTTCAGGCTAAACCAGAGTAAAACCACAGAGGACTTTACAGAGTAAACCCTATTTGGGAACTACTAGAAGAAAAAATTAGAAATACTATATATTTTGATATGTAGTCCTGTTATTTGGCGCTTTTTTTTTAACAACTCCACACTTGATATTACAATCAATATTACAAGAGAAAAGTTATCATTTGGTAAAGACAAAGACTCCAATTCAGAAAGAAAAACAACAAAAACCACCCAGAAACATATGAAGTACATTAATAGCTTTAAGGTAGCAGAGCTGTTACCTTATATCAGGATACTTGTCCAACCTACCAGGACCATAATGATCTTGTCTGCATGAGGATTCAGCTGAGACACTCCACACTTCTATGCTGAGCAAGAACTATGCAAACTGAGGGAAAAAAGAATTGTTAAGCCAAGTCAACAAAACATTAAGTGGACTATTTCAAGTTTTAAAAGCATTAGTATTCTAAAAAATAAAACAAAGAAAATTTATTCAGCAAGATAATCCTGAAACTTCACAGTAAACCTACCTATCACTAAGTATGGAATACTGCCAGATGAACTGCTAAATAGCAACTTCCTACTCTACTATCTGTATCCACAGATGTTTCTTACTAATAGATGACTGAATAATAACATCAAGTTCTTTGGCAGAGAATGTGGAGTTCAGAAGACTGTAGATTCTACAACCACATACAAATATGGGCCTTTCTCTTAGCCATATTCGTATCACAATAGTTTTAACTACAAATCAAACTTATGGTTAATAAAAATGTTGTATGATTAAATAACTACAAAGTACATGCAACTAAAGTGTGTGTATCAAGAAATCTCATTACAATCAAATTTTCATTTTATAAATGAGTCTATAGACCTGTGTTCAAATAAGGAAAGTCCTGGACTGACTTGCATATTGTATAGTAACCAATTGTTAGAATGAATTCCAAATATACAGCCTGTGATAGAAGATGCCCTAACCTCTGTTTTCTGCAGGTTATCAACAGGGTGCATTTCGAGAACCTTAGACAACTCATCCTAACTTTATGGATTCCATATCAGAGGAAACCCCTTCAATGTATGGTGATTCTACCAAGAACCCACCAGAGTGTGACATACAAACAGAAAACGCACCAAAAATAACAGTAAGCTACCAAAGAGCACGCGGTCGAGGGTGGGCAAAACACGTGAAGGGGGGTGGGAGATGCAGGCTTCCAGTTGTGGAATGAGTAAATCACTGGAATAAAAGGGACTTAGGGAACAAATTAAGGTATAGGATATATAGCCAATGATACTGTAATAGCATCATAGTGACATATGGTAGCTACACTTCCGGTGAGCAGAACGCCCAGAGAAAGTGAAATCACCTGAAACTAATGCAACACTGCGAGTCAACCATACTCAAAAAAAAGTAAGCTAAGATCATCCTAACACACAGTAGGTCCAAAATGATTTTCAGGGCGCCTGGGTGCCTCAGTCGGTTAAACGTTTGACTTCAGCTCAGGTCATATCTCACAGTTTCTGAGTTTGAGTACTACCCGCCCCCCACCTGACCATTGGGCTCTGCGGGGACAGCTCAAAGCTTGGAGCCGTCTTGGATTCCATCTCCCTCTCTCTCTCTGCCCCTCTCCCACTCTCGCTCTCACTCTCACTTTAAAATAAAAAATAAAAACATTTAAAAAGATTTTTAGCGCTCATTGCAAATCAGCATATTCCCTCTATCCACAAAATTCAAAAGCTGAAACTACATTATCAAAGATAAAAAAAAAGAGGGGGACTTTAAGCCAAAGACCTCTGAAGAGGTGGAGATTAAGTTCTCCCTAAAGAAATGGAGAGGGAAGATGCACAAAGTTTTTTTTAAAAAAACTAAATTCAAGTTGAAATGAAGAATAACGCAGAGCAGAGCTTCCGTCACAAGTTTCCTAACCATTGTCCTGGCACCCAGAATTCCCGATCGTCCTCAAAGTCTAACCCACTGAACGAAGGCGTAATTACAAAGCTCCTCCTCTGGAAAAGGAGAATACTTTTGAGTATTCCTTTTCATACGTGTGCCCAGCGGGGTAAAAGCACCAAAAGGGAAGAGGTTCCAACTTGAGGCAACCTGCAGAAAACCGGGCTGCGGACGAGTCAAGCATCAAAGTGGGAATTAAGGGCCGTTCTGGGTGGGGAGCTTCGGGCAAACGGGACGGAACGGGGCCGAGGGCCTGACCCCCGAGCTCTCCTCGTGGCCCTGCAGCCTCTCCCATTCCAGGTGACAGCACTTTTCTCCTCGCCGGAGCCTCTCCCACCCCAAATGAAAGCACTATGCAAGCCTCACTCCCTACCACCGCCCTCGGGCTCATCAAAATGTGTTTGGTCTCGGAAGACTGCTGGAGGCGCCGTCCCTTACAAAATTAGTCAGTTAGAAGCCAGGAGTGGGATAAGGAAACCAAGAGTCAGCGCAGCTTCGGGAGAGGCTGAGGCAGAGCAGGGCGGCTGAGGCCACGCTGGCTGTGGCGTGAGGCAACCGGCGGACGCGCGGGCCCGCAGCGAAGCAAGCTGAGGCGAAGGCGCATCGACCGTCGCGCCGCCGGAAACGCCCGGCCTGCAAGACGCCACACCGCTGCCCCGGACGGGCCCGCTTCGGGCCCCCGCTAGGCCGCCCAGCCCTGTCCCGGGGGCGACTTTAGTGCCTCGGCCGTCCGCACACTCACCGCGCGCGCGCGCGCCGCTCGGCGCGGCCGCCCGCCGCCCTCCGCGCGACCTCCGCCCCGCCCCCCGCGCCCTGCCCGCAGACGGGGCCCCTTTGCGGCGGAGGCGGCGGCGGGGCTACGTCACGGGCGCGTGCGCTCTCCGCGCGCACCGGCAACGGCTGCGACGGAACGTTACCCGCCGGGCGTGCTGGTTTCCTTAGAAACGGAGCCGGCCGGGTGGCTGCAGAGAAACGTCGACTACAGTGGGGTGCCTGGTGAAGCCAAGATGCCGTCTAAGAGAAAGGACAAAAAGAAAGGCAAGAACAAAAGCAAAGACAAGAAGTAAGGAGAAGCTACCCTGGGATTCCCTCTTCCTGGGCCTACCCTGTTAAGAAGATTCGGAGCCTGGAGCTGGCTGCACGCTGAGGCTGGCCAGCTGGCTAACTACCCTCCTCTTGCTGTCTCCGCTTCTGAAAAGGACAGCCCTCATTGTTTAGAAATTCCCCAAATGCATGCCAAACCATACTGCTTCAACCTAGACAATGGAATGTGAGATTTGGGACCTTGAATAATTTAGACACAGCCCCTGCATATGAGTAATACATTAACGGTGAAGGCAGATACATTCCCAAAGAACAGAGTAGAAGACCAAATGAAGCAGATGGGTGCTGGGGCGCCTAGGTGGCCCAGTTGGTTAAGCGTCAGACTTTGGCTCAGGTCAGATCTCAACGGTTCGTGGGTTCGAGCGGGCCTGTTTCGGATTCTGTGTCTCCCTCTTTCTCTGCCTCTCCTCCACTCATGCTCTGTCTCAAAAATAAACTATTAAAAACAAAAAGAAATAGATGGGTGCTAGTAGAGAGAAAAAGGTGTGGGAATGAGGAGGAAGGATTAGTTCTGACACTAGAAGTGAAGGTCAAAGGTCAGGATAACATTTCTTAGTATATCGAATGTCTTCTAGACCAGCGCCGTCCATTAGGGTAGTGATCAACCATGTGTGGCTACTAAACTAAAATTAATTAAAATAAATGCAGATCCATAATTGGCCACGTTTTATATGCTCAGTAGGCTACTGCTGACTGTATTGGGACAGCCTAGGTATAGTACATTTCCATCACCACAGAAACTTCTATTGGACAGTACTCCTCTAGAACAGTGGTTCTCAACTAGGGGTGATTTTGGCTCCAGAGGACATTTGGCACTATCTAGAGACATTTTTGATTGTCACATCTAGGGATTTTTTTTTGTGTGCTACCCGCATCTAGTAGGTAGAGACTAAGGATACTAGTAAACATCCTGCAATGCACAGGACAGCCCCCACCTGCACCTTAAACAAAGAATCTTTTGGCTCAGAATGTCAGTAGTGCCATGACTGGGAACCCCTGCTCAAGACTATAAGCTTCTCTTGGGACCTCTGGGTGGCTCAGTCATTTAAGCATCTGACTTAGGCTCAGGTCATGATCTCACAGTTCTTGAGTTCACAAGCTCTTGACTTGGAGCTCTTTGCTGACAGTGGGGAGCCTGCTTGGGATTCTCTCTTTCTCCCTCTGTCTCTGCCCCTCCCCTACTCACACTTTCTCTCAAAATAAATAAACTTTTTTTTTTAATATTTTTTTTAATTTATTTCTAGGATAGAGAGAGACAGCGTGAACAGGGGAGGGTCAGAGAGAGAGGGAGATACAGACTCTGAAACAGGCTCCAGGCTCTGAGCTGGCAGTCAGCACAGAGCCCGACGCGGGGCTCGAACCCACAAACCGCGAGATCATGACCTAAGCGAAAGTCGGACGCTTAACCGACTAAGCCACCCAGGCGCCCCTCAAAATAAATAAACTTTTAAAAAATGAAGAAAAAAAGACTATAAGCTTCTCTAGACTAGGCACTAAGCATCATTCACCACATCTCCAGCACCTAGCAGAAAGCCTGAAACATAGTAGATGCTTATTATTTGTTACATAAACAAATTAAAGTGTCTGCTTATGTGCACTTCAACTTGAATCTTCTCTTTTTTCCACAGGAGCTATGCTCTGGGTTTGTTTTGTTTTGTTGGTTTTTGGCAGTAGCCTGAGAGATCCCTGCTTTGTTGTTGAGAATATCTTGAACATCTAGAGAATCCCTGGGTGATTGAAGTAGTTCCTTGGGCCTTTTGAAGGATTCCTTTTGGTTCAAAGGAAAAGCTAAAAGATTTAACCAAATTGGGTAATTGTTCAGATTTCCCCAAACTGATCAGAATTCCTGAAGTAGGTATTGCTCTAGCACCTAACTTTGCGGGCTTGGGGTTGCTGCTGGATTGCCACTAGATCTGTTGAGTGACTAGTGGTTTGTTGGAATCATGCATGGTGTCCAGCATCACTATGTATGGGACCATTAGGGAATCCTCCAAACTTGTAAAGCTTATAAAGTAATTTGTAAAGATAGTAACAGGTACTCAGTACAGAAAGTTTAGGAAGTGTGGATAGTCAAGGCAGAAAACAAAAATCACCTGTAATTGCATTATCTGAAGATAACCACTACTATCATTTTGGGATGTTCTTTTTCTTTCTTTCTTTTTTTTTTTTTTAATGTTTTATTTCTGAGAGAGAGAATGAGAGCGAGCAGGGGATGGTCAGAGAGAGGGAGATACAGAATCTGAAACAGGCTCTAGGTTCTGAGCTAGCTGTCAGCACAGAGCCCGACACAGGGCTCGAACCTATGAACCATGAGATCATGACCTGAGCTGAAGTTGGACGCTTAACCAACTGAGCCACCCAGGCGCCCCTCTTTTTCTTCTTTCTAAAATATGTCCCACTGGACATATTTATTTGTAGCTCCCCCACTCCATGTATTAATGAGTATTCTACAGTGTTCTTTCTTTTTTCTTTTTTACATAATTGGGTAGTCTGGGCACTTTTAAAAGTGCCAAGGGATGGGACACCTGGGTGGCTCAGTGGTTGAGAGTCAACTTTTGATTTTGGCTTAGGTCATGATCCCAGGGTTGTGGGATCTAGCCCCACATCGTGCTCTGTGCTGAGCATAAAGCCTGCTTAAGATTCTCTCCTCCTGCCCCTCTCCCCTGCTCACGTGCACACACATGTTCTCTCTCTCTCGCAAATAAAATTTAAAAATTAAAAAATAGGGATGCCTGGGTGGTTGTTGGTTAAACATCTGACTTTGGTTCAGATCATGATCTTGCAGTCTGTGAATTCAGGCCCTGCATTGGACTCTCTGCTGACAGCTCAGAGCCTGGAGCTGCTTTGGATTCTGTGTCTCCCTCTCTTTCTGCCTCTCCCCTTCTTGTGCTCTGTCTCTCTTGCTCAAAAATAAAATAAACATTAAAAAAAATTTTTTTAGGGGCACCTGGGTGGCTCGGTCGGTTGAGCGGCCGACTTCAGCTCAGGTCATGATCTCATGGTTGTGGGTTCAAGCCCCACGTTGGGTTCTGTGCTGACAGCTCAGAGCCTGGAACCTGCTTCGGATTCTGTGTCTCCCTCCCTCTGCCTGTTCCCCGCTTATCCTTTGTCTCTCTCTGTCTCTAAAAATATAAATAAATGTAAAAATTTTAAAAATAAATAAATAAAATTTAAAAATAAAAAAAATTTAAATAAAAGTGCCAAGGGCTTATCACATTCTCAAATTCTTGGAACTCACTAGAATATGTTTTCTATTTTTGACCATTCATCTATAGTACATCTGTCAGCAGTGAGGAACATTGAGGGTAACAGACCTCTTATTGCTTGGATTTTTCCATGACTCATAGTTTGAGACACTCTGCTTTGTTTTTATAGTCAGTATTAGTGGTTCTCTGATGAGAAATCCTATCTGCATCAACTGCTCTGTGCAGCTTAGACCTGATAACCTTCAGGAAGCAATTGGATGAATATACCAACGTAGTCTATCACTACTGCCTAAATCATGCTGTGATTTAAAGGGAGGTCAAAGCTATAACAAGCTAGGGAGCTGGAGGTGGGGCTGGCCCTAATTTGAAGAGAACAGTGGACTGAAAAGGGATGGAGAACCAGGAGTTGAGGGTTGGGGTTGGAGGGTGATCCTATAGAAAGGTCCACACATACCTATATGTGAAAATATTTAGCGTTCAAATACAGGTAAAAATTTTTTTAAGTTTACTTATTTTGAGAGAGCACATGTGTACACACATACAAGTTGGGGAGGGGTAAAGAGGGGATTAAGAGAGAGAATCTCAACCAGGCTCTGCACTTCGTTAGAGCAGAGCCCATGCAGGGTTTGAAAATACGAACCATGAGATCATGATCTGAGCTGAAATCGGGAGTCAGACATTTACTGACTGAGCCACTCAGATGCCCCCAGGTGAATTCTTACTTATTACCTGAATATTTATGTATCCAGTGCCTACTATATATAAGGGATATTGTTTTGTCAGTCGTTGTACAACAACTCTTTACTTGAAAGTAAACTCTCCTTTGATCACTTTAATCTTTGAAGACATAGATTGATCACTTTAATCTTGAAGCCATACTTTATTATTATTATTTTAAAATTACCTCGTATAATAATTATGGTTTGTTTCTTAGCCATCCTTGAAGCCTGGTGCATGTGGCAACAGCTGATAAAAGTATTTAACATATTTGTTCTAGTGACTTGATCTTTTGTCAAAGGTCTAGCCTGAAAATCCCCCCCAAAAACAACCTACAGCACCCCCAAAACTAGATTTGGGTGGGTGGAAGATTAAAGAACAAAGAAGGGTCTTAAAGTTACAGTTACACCATGAATGTATCATCATACAGAAGGGGAACTAAGGTAGTGGATTTGCAGTAGCAAGAACCAAAGTCTAAAACTGGGTGAGTAGGTATAGAAAAGACATTTCAAATATGAGAAAA